TTTTGAGTATTGATTATTGATTTGAAAATGAGTAGCGCCTCGAATATTGTTTTTGAAATAAATTCGAAAAATTTATTCTGATTTTCGGTAAATAAAAGTGGGGCGTTACAGATAGAAATATTATATAAAAGACACAAATGTGCAAAGAGCAGCCACCAGCTGAATACAACGACAATCAACAGCTAAATAGTGAGAGTCCAGGTCAAAAGACTGCTTAGAACCGACCCCAACGGGGTAATACTCAGGAACACTACAAAACAACACAAAACAAAGGGTAAAAAACACAAGACAAACAACATCAATACCCCAACAGGGTAATACCCAAGTGTCGGACCCCAACAGGGTAATAAGGTGACACTCGGACTCACAGAGGCCAACGGCCCAAACCAAAAACACAATACTAACTAAGAAACACAAGACTAAAAAAAATCAACAAACACATGTAAAATAACTAAAAGCAAAACAAACAGCCCTCCCTCAGAAAGGACAACCGAAGACGATAGCAGACAGGCCGACTCCGAGGAGAGATCCTAAGCACAGGAACCGCGCCCGCCACTGCCTAATGCCTAGCAAAGACGAAGCTCCTACCTTTGAACCAAACCAAAAAGGCCGACCCACTCTCCGGCCGCTATAAACCACAATCTCCCCCCAATTCGGCTAACACCACTAGCCAAATCTGAAACTGTCCCGAACCCGCCTATCACCACTAGCCAGTTCCGGTGGCGGGCGGCCTCCCTCGGACTCAGAGTCGGAGAACAAGAGAAGAAGGGGAACGAATAGTGACAAGCCCAGAACAAGCAACAAATTTCAACCCAGCCCGAAAGGACGAATCCAGCCCAAGGCCCCCTTGGCGATCGGAGCTCGAAAATCAACCCTGATAGAAAAGAAGAACCAAGACGGGACATACCTCCGAGCATGGCGAGAAAAAACCGCCCTGACCAGGGCCAACGCGAGCGACCCACGCCCCTTCCATTTGCAGGCGCCACATCCCACCGAGCTCCAAAGCCTCAGAATGCTGGCCATCGCTCCGAACAGAAGAACCGCCGGAACCCTAGCTCGCCTCTAATGGCGTGAGACAACAAGAGAGAGTGCCACAACCCTAACCATGGTGGAAGAGCGGTGGGTCTTCCACCGACGAGCCCGGCTGACAACTGAAGGAGGCTCAATTCGGCAGAGATCGACGCGCGACGGGATGAGTTATTTGGCGGTTTGGGCGACTTTTTTTATCGGCAAATTCAATGAATTATTGTGTATTTTTTTGTATTGACTATTAAACGTGATTAGATGTTATTGTTGTGCTTACATTTAAGTTAACTTCTTTTAGAAAATAAAAAACGTATTTGAAATTCTAAATAAATAATAAATAATTCACAAAGAAAGATGTATACCAAAATATACATTACATCCACTATGATAACGTAATTTACAAAAAATAAATATTTCAGCTCCTTTAATTGTAAATTTGGCAAAATCATTAATTACTATATGCATACAAATAACTCACAATACTTTATTTATATATATGTGCAAATGCACAGGTCGAATACGAGTATTATTTTATTGTACGGATTTTATTTTAAATTATTATATTGTAATGTAAAAACGTAATGACAACATAAATGGCTTTTTGTAGCGCCATCTAATGTATCACTTTACAAATAGGTAATACTTTTGGTAACACTTTATAAATATAAGTGTTACAAAAAACTACCAAAAGTATTACTTATTGTAAAATGATACATTAGATGGCGCTACAAAAAGCCATTTATGTTGTCCAAAATTTATTTAACATTAATTCATATTAATAATTAGTATTATTTGCCGGCATAATTTCAAAATTGGTCCTATAATTTGGCCACTTTCCAAAAAACCACCCCACCATTGGTCACTTTCAAACTTGGTCCTATAATTTGACATTTTAATCAAATTTGATCCTTTTTATCCAGAATATGGATTAAAATGAGATTACAAAGGGACCAAAATATCAAATTATAGGACCAAATTTGATTAGAAAAGAACCAAATCTGATTAAATGGACAATTTATAGGACCAAGAATGAAAGTGGCCAATGGCGGGGTGGTTTTTTGGAAAGTGACCAAATTATAGGACCAATTTTAAAATTATGCCATTATTTGCCGGTGCATCACACATGACAATGCTATATATTTCCCCTCTGCTCAACCCAGTCATGAAGCCATTGCTTCATCTCAATGCTGGGTATCAGTTCGGCTTTGAAACCAATGAGTCAATGAGATTTCAACTCATGGCCATGCAACCGGAAGCTCATGGGACACGATGATGAACTTCATCATCAGGGAATCCGATCAATGAACAAACGATTCTCTAGACGGCGCACCAAGAGCGCATAATGAATCTCTAACCCATACACAATGAAGCCAAAGAAATATGTTTATTATTATTATTATTATTATTATTATTATTATTATTATTATTATTATTATTATTTATTTATTTATTTATTTATTT